ACGAAGAAAAAAAAATACTTTTTACGGATTCTTGGTTCAAATCTGTACTCAGATTGGAAGCTTATACATGTTAAAGCTAACATAGTTCTAGTTTGTTTGAAAAGTCATATTTATTTGATATATCAATGAACTTTAGTACCTTTTGATTAATTAAACATACATTTGAAACGTTCTTCAAGTCTTCAAGTGTAAAAATGATATCTAAATTCATTGTACTATAACAATTTTGAGAGGCAGAAAAGATATTTTCATACGCCACCATTCCGCCAAAAATATAGTCCCTGCTAATTTTCAAACACGGTTTTCAATTTCTAGTTAAAGTTGTACATTCGTGACGAGGAAAGAAAAATATGGTCTTTTAAATCTCTTACACCTAAATATGGTTACTGAACTAAGTGTATCATCTTCAAATGTACTTTGAATATTTCATCTAGTCAGAAACCAGAGAAAAATCTTACCTTAGGTCTATGATGTCACTTAGTTCAGTAACCATGTTTAAAAACAATATTTTGTAAATTCTAAGGTCGTACAAATGACCTTTGTACAATATAAACTGTCATTGGGTCGTATTTTGGCTGACTTGTTTCAGGTAAATATTAGGCCTCTTTTAATGATAAATTTGACTAAGGGATGTTCTATCCTCTTGATCAAAGAGACCGGCCAAAAAGAGATGCTTACTCCACCAAGGCACCTCATTTCACATTTGTATTTCTGGAGGTTCCTGTTTATGCTTTGTTTACGGATTCGTCCTGTTCATTGTTTTTTAATCAAGCACTATTTTTTTTAGTTTCATTTTTTCATTCCATGTTCTGGGATGGTACAAAGTTTGTTATTTCCAAAAGTCGCTTTGAAACTAATAACTATGTCATAAAATTGCATCATTTTGCTATACCAATCCATCTTTCATACTGATAATAATACATTGTATTTATTATAGAAAAAAATCCATATTTTAACTTTTTGAAAAGCATATTCAAACTTGTCTCAACAAAATGGAACACGTCAGGAAAATATCAGAGAGTGTCCTTGACCAAGTTAAATTTCAAAATTTGCGACTTAAGATAAAAAAATATTTAAGAGAAATGTGACAAGCAGAAGACCAAAGGTCTGTGTTATCTTTACCACGTGATCACTTGAACAACTTGAGATAACAAACCCCGTGAGCCTACCATTTTAGTCAATTCGTTTAAAGAAAGGTACGCATGTCTTTAGTACTATTACTTTTTACATTATTTTGCATAATTTATTCATCAACTTTTTTCTATATAACAAGGATTTTTACGGTTTTTCTATATAATTTATTTATCAACATTTTTTGCATAACAAGGATTCTTACGTCGGATGATATCAACATCCAATTATTATGTAAGTATATAAAAGCATTCAAAATATATTATTTATTCTTTTTATTTAAAAAACAAGAAAATCAAATAACACATAATACCTTTCTTCTTTAACTTCACTGCAAAAGTCATTAGGTAATTGCAATTTTGACATAACAAATCAATAATTAGATTATTGTACATAAAATAATCGCCTTAATTTTGCTTATAGATTTATAAATGTAAATCTTGAATGAAATTCTTACAGGGACTAGTGTATTCTTCACAAGGAAAAAACCAAAACGAATAATAAAGTCTTACATCTATTGGGTAGGTTTAATAACAAATTGCATTTTAAAAGACACACGAATGAGAATGTTTGCTTGAAGCCGTTGAAACGCAATACAGGTTGTTTTTAAAATATGTAAAATTAAAATGCATCTTGCCCGAGATTAAAGCAAATTTCAGACTCAAAATATTTGGAATATCAAAAACATTCAAAGATAATTATGTTTATCGTACACTTTATACAATCCTTCAACAGAATTTTAGTAGAAAACTAAGCTTTTTAAGCGTCATGGACAACTTCGTACATTAAAATTAAACTTGTATCTTTCGCTTCTTGTGATTTGTCATTAACTTTGTTATATCTTACCTTTTACCTTTTATTTTAACGTATCTTGCAATTGCTACATTTTTTTTTTTTTACAAAAGAAAGCTTAGAAGCCTTATTTGAGATTCGAGTTTCGAAAAACAAAACTCAAATTTCGAGATTAAAATTTGAGATTTTATATCAAACAGAAATCGAGTTCAAGATTTGTACTTTTTCAATCAAGAAATCTTTTATAACTGACAGGTCATTTAACTAAATAATAATGTATGAAAAGATACCTTATTATTAAGAAAAAACGAATCAACCTATTTTAAGGTTAAGATTAGAAAAAATATGAATGTGTTTTTAACTTTATTTTTCCTGCTTTGTTTCACACATTCAAGAACTGAAGACTGTATCATATAATATTAAATCAAGATTGTTTATTTGCAATTTATTTTATCCAATGTCATATGAGTTGCCACACGCATGTTTTCGTTATCAGTCCTTCGTTTTCATGATAAATATTTGCATTTTGGTTGGAAATTGCGGCCATGACCTACATTATACAAGTATTTAAATTACACAGTGGAACTTGTGTATTTGATTGGTTCTATATTGTGCAAGATCTAAGTGGATTACCATTGATGGGGTTTGTCAATGCATTACAAGAATTACTATGAATATTGAATATACAGATTAGTACTAAACAAATACATAAAGTGGTATTAAAGTTAAAAATATCCCGATAGCATCGACATATACAATGTACTATAAAATATCAAACATTGTCTATTTTATGCCTTTGTCCCCATAATAATTATGTCTGATTACCAATTTGGCTTGACGAGGAATTTTAACTTGGGATTGCCATCCTTAACGTTCAATCATTCATAGTTCAGTCGGTAGAGCGCTCTCTCCTTGTTCGAAAGGTCGTGAGCTCCAATCTCGGCCACGATTGACCTAAGTCGATAAAAAATGGCTGGCAACTATTCCTTTGCAACTGAAAGTTACAGATCCTTCGAACGAAACCTTAAAAACTGAGTCCACTTGTCATGTTAGACGTTGGCACGATAAAGATCCGTCACTGCTCAAAAGCCGTAAGTGCCGAGTAAAGGTCAAATTTGAAGCCCATCACCAGTATATGATGACGCCTATATATAAGTGAAATATTCTGGAATGGACGTTGAACAATATCCAGTCAATCTATCAATCTCATTTAAAAAGGGGAAGTTCTATCTACGGGCCTGAAGAAAGAGATAGAATTTTTTTGCATAGGCCACCTTACTCAAGGAGCTATCTCATCGACTGGCCTTTCAAACTTGGTCTTTGCCCATTCTTTAAAATATTGTTACAAGCTCTAACCATTTTGTAACCCCTATTAACATTAATTGTAATGTCACCTGAAATGTTGCTCGCTTATGATTCTCTCTTGGTTGTGCAATAATCAATTAAATGTAGATACAATTTCTTTTTACCCTTCGAAGATTCTGACTAAAAGACTTTTGCAGATCGCATTTCATGCCCATCCTGTAAGAATCTGAAAAATACGGGACCATTCTGCAATGGAGATATTCTTGATAAAACTTTTTTATATATAATTCTAGACATACTTTACTTCATAACATCTTTTTACCTTTACCTTTAAAATTGATTTTATACACCCAGCACTCTTTCTTACATTGTTATTATAAAAAAACATTTACTTGCCTGTTTTTTTATAAATAAATTTCGAATTACGACTTTGTAATGATAAAAGCTTAGCAAAGGAAAAGTGAGTAATTGAACCTTAACAACCATTTGATTTGCTAATCTAGATCAGTCAAATTTTGAATCACTTTTTTGAATTTCGTACATATATGTATTTAGTGACTGAAATCTCAAATGTGTCCTAATGGGCGTAATAGTTTTTTTTTTTTTGCTAAGTTAATTTTTCTTGAAGTATAGAGCTTCAAATGTTAGAAACAAGGTTTCATCTGAGAAATCCAATAAAACAGACAAATCCTAAACAGAGTGCAAAATCATTTTCCCTGAAAATGGAAACACTAGAGATGGGCACAGGTGCTTATGAGACGTTTACATCATCTGCAAACAAAAATTAGACCCAATATTGCTTGATTTTGCAAACAACTTCATTATATTGTTAATGCAATTTGAAATATACTTACTTTTGATAAGATTAATATCATCTCATCTCGACTTACATGTATTTGTAAGTAGTCTGTCTCAGTATAAGACTTTTCCTGTTTTCCTCCTTTTCCTATTCTCAGAGCATGCTCTTGCGTATCAGAGAAGGAACATTAAAACAAATCCAGGTTATAGATAAATGTGTCTTCTTAAATACGGAAAGCAGTCAATAGAAAAATAAAAAAAAACTCGTTTGAGATAAAGCATCCAAATGAGCAAAAATGGGGATACAGTGGTGTGTTTTATTTTGAGTTCAGTATCTACATTCATTGAGTGTATACAAATAAAATTACAGTTTATAGTAAATTGAAAAAGGAATAAAAGACATTTTTAAAAAAGTACATTAATATACTATTTACTTATGTTTTAGCTCTTTTCATTCCATCTGTATTGGACGTAAAGGGAACAACCAGAGATGAGTGGAATCAGGATAGCATTGTTACTTTGCATCTTCTTCTCCTCTGCATTGCTTTCCTATTCTAACTATGATGAAGCAGGTAATTAAAGCCCTTATTTTCTCAGCATTAATTTGTTTGGTTGCCCCATCCCGATTCAAGACTTAAAAATATATATCAATAGGTACGTTAGAAAATTTTTCTTTCCGAAATCCAATTTTACTGCTTAGTTTTAATTTTTTCAGAATGCATAAAAAGGTATGCTTCCTGGTAGTTAATAAAAATTGAGTCGGGTAATTTTTAGCCAGTCGGTCGGGAGAATGAAACAAACTAATAGAAGACTTAAATGTTATCATTTTACATCAAAGTTTGAATTCTAATGCAATTGAGTTGTTACATGTATTCTCATTGGCTAAGAACTTACCTTTGCGACTGTTAAATGAGCATTAACGGTAGCAAACTACTTTTATTAGTATTCATACGCCGTTGCCAGTGTAAATAAAAATGGCTACCGGGGGTATCGCTTCGACAGAATCTAACGGTAGCGATTTTTCTGATGGTGAAAATGAAAGATCGGCACAGAATTTTGACATGGGGTTTGCCTTTCAATCTCAGTCTGAGTCAGGAAGCGCAGAAATGTCTGTAGACATTAAATATGAGAACATCGACTTCGCAGACGACTCAGATCTTGAGGAAGCCCTGCTAAGCTGTTTAACCCAAACGGATGATAGTGGGTCTACGGGAACTGAACAAGGAAGATTCCCCAATTTGACAGAGACAGATTTGACAAATATCGAAGAAAACAAAGATTCCCTAGGAACCATAAAACAAACGAAGTGGGCAGTGTCTCTTTTCCGTGGTGTGTATATCAAAACAAATACAGGACCCACACATGACCCCAAACATCTTAAAAATACATACATATATCTCATACATACATAAATATTAAATGGAATGAGAATATCTCATGAAATAATTTAATGAAAAATATTTTGTTAATCAATATGAAACAGAGCAAAAATGTCTTATGGTAGAAGGGTCTATCCTCTTTGAGGAATTTGATTCCAGACATCACGCCACCCTTCTTATTGGGATATGAGGATTACCACAGACATGATTTTCTCACAAAAACATCATGAAAATAAATAGTAATATATTTCTTTAAAATGTAAAATGTGTAATTGGGTATCAATATTAAAAATACATCCACACAGCAAAATTTTTTTTCTATAAAATTATAAGGCAAAAATTGAATAAAAAAGTCATAAAAAAGATGCCTGAAATACAAAACTAGATGCTGTCATGAGACAGTAATACCCGCACTAAGGTGTTTGCCTCTAAATACACAATCCTACGGGCGGCTTACCAAGGAAAAAGTCAAAATAATTCTATATAATTCAGGCACGTAGCATCGTTTTTGAAAGTGGGGGGGGGGGGCAACCTGAGAAAATTTTTTTTACTAACCTAAAAAAATTAACAAGGAAAAAAATGAAATGGGGGGGTGGGGGTGGGGGGGGGGTGGCCCCTTTTTTTTCAAGGCAAAATTACTTTCACTTCCAATTTTTCCCATATTTCCTTGCAATGTATATACTGTGGTTAAAAGTGGGAGGGGGCAACCATCTTTTTAATGGACATTTTCTTATAGTACAGGTAATGTTGGGAAAAAAGGGGGGGCAGCCCCCCCCCCCGGTTGCTACGTGCCTGTAATTTACATATGTATTCATAAAATTGGGTATGAAATTATCCCTGTGACCTATAACTCAGAACCTCTTATATTTATTTTACATGCTTAATTCATTATATACCAGTTTGAATTCTATTAATAATGTAAATTAGATTTTGATAAATGTTTTGCTCATATTAGGACCTTTTTAAATTTACTAACCCCCCCCCCCCCCCCTCTCGACACCACAATCACACAGTACATACTTTTGGGAATAGGCTAGATGGAACAGTTTTGTTAAAACAGTGTTTGTTATGAATTAATTTAAAATTTGTTCTTGACATGTAAATTCTACATCACATCACGTTGCGTCACCCATTATCATATTTTTAGATTAAACTCCATTCGGTACACCTCGGCCGATTCCCACTTCATCTGATAAGGTGACGGAATCGACGCACTCGGAGTTCCTCGGATGACTCGTACCTCGCACATAACCTCGGACGTCAACGGTGATCTACCATCTTACTGTTTCAGTCATGTGATCTTATTTGAATTTCATTCAAATGTCATACATTTGAGATCGGAGTTATTGTGTGGCGCACTCAACAGTTTGTTCTAGCTTTCAAAGCCTACGTACATAAGGTTGTAATCAAAACCTGTTTACGATAAAGAATTGCACATATTTAGAAACATTTTCGAGGAACGTTATGCAGAGCGAACTATGAAATGCGTGAAAAGGCAGTTTCCGGCGAAGAAATGTAAGGATCTGGTGCGTATTCCTCCACTAATCACATCCGAGGTTTGAATGGAGCGAAGCGGAGTCAGCCGAGGATTGCCGATTGGAATCGACGGCACGGAGGTTTTCCGAATGGAATATCATTATAACATGCTGCAGAATGGTGTGCTTTGGATTAATTCATTTTGTGTTATAATTGGATTTATATTTCATGAAGTTTACAGGACCTATGGAGGTCGGTAAGTACAAGTTTAAGTATAGTGGGGGTAAAATAAACCCAAACGATTATGTTAAAGTTCAAAAAGGGTCAAAGATCATCACATGCCACACTAGACGAATTTCATATTGTGAAGTTATCTCCCCTTGTCGATGTGACATTCAGTTACTGCCAATACTGGTGCGGATCCAGAATTTTTTTCGGGAGTAGGGAGGGGGGTTCACATCTCAGTCAAAATATTCATGCCTAGAATTTCCTGACAAGCAGGAGAAAAAAATCATACACTGAAAACAAATAAACAAAAAAAAAACCCAATGTTTTCTTAGTTAGGGAGAGGATGTCCAAAATCATTTTTTATTTGCTTCAGTATATAGTCTTGTATAAATAACAAAGGAAATTCCAGGGGTGGGGGGTGGGGGTGGGGGTTCCAATCTCCCTACCCACTCCCTATCCCTGAAATAACAATCTATTTTGTGATTCCAATTAAATAGTATATTTTTTTCCATTTGACTAATTATGTACATATTTTGTTTCTTGTGTTTATATTATGTCTGTATATTTGTCTGCAGAAATTATAACCTTGCCCATAAGTTTTAAGTGGGATGGGCTATACAATTGGCTTCCACATTTTATAGGTTTATTTCTTGTGACAATTAAGACCTTTTATTTGGGTACCATTAATTTTTACCTCTGATCACTTGACCTAGAATACACATTTTTACAAGAAAAATACCCAACTTTAAACTTGGCCTAAATTTTGATCAGTAGGTGCTAGGGCTTTCATGCTTAACATGTGTATTCATTGTGAACAGTCAACAGGTATAAATATGTTTGACCTTGACCGTAGAGTTTGAACCACTTAAAAAATTAACCTTGGCAATTAACTTTTGAAGAGGAAGTACTAGGGATTACTTATTTCACATGTGCATTCCTTGTGACAAGACTTTTTTCTGATACCAACAATTGAACCGTTTGACCTTGACCTTTGAGTTTGACATATATTTGAGAAACTTCAACCTTCGCCATAGGCTACCAGACAGGGACATCAGTGTTTCACAAACACATCTTGTCTTCATTATTATTTGGTGGTGTCTCCATATGACGGAAAAATTCCAATGAGATACGTATTCACAAAAAACAAACAAATTACTAAAGAAAATATAAAACATGAATATGTTGGTCATGCATATCTCTGCATGAAAAAAAACCCAGCTTTTCAAGTACTGCAACCATATTGTAACCCTTTCAAAACACTCATTTGAGCTTTTCTGGTTTCCTTGTCATATAACGTCTGCTGTGACATGTTGTCCATCTGTTTGTCTGAAAACTTTTTACATTTTTAACTTTTCTAGATCCACTGGTCCAATTTTACCCATGCAATTCATATAGAAATATGTACATTTGTATGTCAGACTGTTCTTCTGTCTGAATAAAATTAACCTTGGTTATCACGGTCATATCTACTGAATGAGAAGAGACAAGACATTCATATTAAACTTATGTACTAGTATTTACCTGTGAGAATGGCATGTTTTTTTTTTTTTTTTTTACATATGACCTAGAAGTTTGACCTACTTGCAAAAGAATTAAATTGTTATAAATTTATCATTTTGAAAGAGAAAAGTTAGGGCATTCATATTATAATGCATGTATATTATTACCTGTGATAAGATCTTTCCAAATGAATCATGACTTTTACTCTGTGACCTTGACCTTGAAGCCTAACCTACTTTTCAAAAATGTTGCATTTGCTTATAACTTTTGATTGAGATGAGATATGACTCTCACATTTGACATTTGTACATTAATTACTTGTAAAAATTCAAGATGTTTCCCAGCTTGCAATGTTTTTTTTTACTCTTTAACGTTAATGTTTTACATAATTTTCAAGATATTTAACTCTCCTAAAAGATGATTAGGCTTCTGAGTAACATTAAGGAGAACTTCAGGAAAGACAGGACTTTTTGCACAAAAAATTTAATTTTCCACCCCCATTTGACCTCCCAGGGCAATATCAAAATTCCAAAACCTTGCTGCACATCTACATGACACTACCAACCATCTCCCTAAAGATGATTAGGCTACTGTGTAAAATGTAAGAGAATTTCAGGGAAGACGGGGCTTTTTGCATAAAAACGTCATTTTTTTACCCCTATTTGACCCCCCGGGGCAAAATCAAAATTCCGAAACCTTACTGCACATCTACATGACACCACCAACCATCTCCCAAAAGATGATTAGCCTACTGTGTAAAATGTAAGAGGAGTTCAGGGAAGACAGGGATTTTTGCATAAAAAACGTCATTTTTCGACCCCCATTTGACCCCCCCGGGGCAATATCAAAATTCCAAAACCTTACTGCACATCTACATGACACCACCAACCATCTCCCAAAAGATGATAAGCCTACTGTGTAAAATGTAAGATAAGTTCAGGGAAGACGGGGCTTTTTGCATAAAAAACGTCATTTTTCGACCCCCATATGACCCCCCGGGGCAATATCAAAATTCCGAAATCTTACTGCACATCTACATGACACCACCAACCATCTCCCAAAAGATGATTAGCCTACTGTGTAAAATGTAAGAGGAGTTCAGGGAAGACGGAGCTTTTTGCATAAAAAACGTCATTTTTCGACCCCCATTTGACCCCCCGGGGCAAAATCAAAATTCCAAAACCTTACTGCACATCTACATGACACCACCAACCATCTCCCAAAAGATGATTAGCCTACTGTGTAAAATGTAAGAGGAGTTCAGGGAAGACGGGGCTTTTTGCATAAAAAACATCATTTTTCGACCCCCATTTGACCCCCCGGGGCAATATCAAAATTCCAAAACCTTACTGCACATCTACATGACACCACCAACCATCTCCCAAAAGATGATTAGCCCACTGTGTAAAATGTAAGAGGAGTTCAGGGAAGACGGGGCTTTTTGCATAAAAAACGTCATTTAATGACCCCAATTTGACCCCCCGGGGCAAAATCAAAATTCTGAAACCTTACTGCTTATCTACATGACACCACCAACCATCTCCCAAAAGATGATTAGGCTACTGTGTAAAATGTAAGAGGAGTTCAGGGAAGACGAGGCTTTTTTCATAAAAAACGTCATTTTTCGACCCCCATTTGACCCTCCAAGGCAAAATCAAAATTCCGAAACCTTACTGCACATCTACATGACACCACCAACCATCTCCCAAAAGATGATTAGCCTACTGTGTAAAATGTAAGAGGAGTTTAGGGAAGAAAAGTGTGACAGACGGACGGACGGACGGACGGACGGACATGAGTAACAACAATATACCCGAACTTTCTTTAGAAAGTGCGGGTATAATAAAATTATCTGACAGATAGATTATTTATGAAATAACAGAAAACTGTAAAAGCACTTAGCAATGATAACCATTCAAATAAACTATATTTCTAAATTTAAATTTTTTTTTAAATTCAATTTCACTGAAAGAATTTTTAAATTGAATTTAGAATGGTTGTCTGAGAATGGACAAGATGAAAAGTTTGAAAATCTGTCAGCTACCAGCTTGGATGAGACACTAAGAAGGTTCTACGCCTCTTTAAGAACAGCCCAAGGTGACCTCTACTCAAAAAGCACCTTCGTTGGAATTCGGGCCTCAATCAACAGGCACTTGCGTGCCCCACCATATTGCCAAAAAATTTCTCTCCTAGACAGCAATGACTTTGTCAAATCAAATAACATGTTTAAATCCATGTTGAAAAAAATAAAGAAAGATGGATTTGACAAAACTAAGCATTATGAAGCCATTTCCGAGGCTGACCTGCAGAAACTGAGGTCAACAGATATACTAAGCTGCCGTGATCCAAAAAGCTTGCAGAGAAAAGTGTGGTTTGATATTACACTAAGCTTTGCTAGACGAGGCAGAGAAAATATTCGTGACCTAAAGTGCTCAGCTTTTATCTTTAAGACAGATGATGCTGGAAAAGAGTATGTTCAGATGGCATATAATGAAGCCACAAAAAACCATCCTGGAGACAGAATTAAAGATAACGACCATGAGACACAGCCAAGAATGTATGCTACATCCAGCAGTCAGTGCCCTGTTACTTCATTACGCCTTTACTTAGATAAGCGCAACAAAACAAATGAAATTCTATTTCAGCAAGCAAAACGTACCTTCAACCCCAATGATGACGAATGGTATACATCTCGACCTCTGGGAGAAAAAACCCTCAATAATATGATGAAGAGCATATCAGCTGATGCAGGACTGTCCAAGTCCTACACAAATCACTGTGTGAGAGCTACTACAATTACTCTTTTATCTCATGCTGGGGTTGAAGCACGAGAAATAATGAGGATTTCAGGACACAGAAATGAGCAGAGTATTAAATCCTACAACACAGACTCCTCTGAAGACCATAAGAGACTCTATAGCAGCATCTTACATGGTGCAAGCATGAAAAGAGACGCACTAAGTCCATTAAATCTGCCAGTCCAACAACAAATTAGTAGTGCCACAAGTCTTGCCACTTCATCTTCAACTACTGTACATGCTGTAGGCCTATCGCAAAACAACACCCTGAACATTCAGCAGAATATTCCTATGCATTATCAGAAGCAGTTTGACATTTACAATTCTAGTGTTCAGGTTTACAACTTTTTTGGACCCCAATAGAAAGAGAATTGTGGATAAAAAGGACTTACCTTTTCTTCGTTGTTGACATGACTGTTTGAATGTGTTCTTCGCTATGACCTTGCCCTTGTGTTACGTGCAGGGTTTGTTTTCGTTTAAAAAACGGAATTGATGTTAGACAAAGCAATTTGTTTTGAATTATATTGAATTATTTATGAATTAAAGTGAGCAAAATTCATTTAACACTTTTTTAACTAGAAATTAAAAAGAGAGAACCAGGAACTATATTTTGTCGGAAGGAAATAATCAAGGGTAATTGGGTCTTGCAAAAACTATGGAACAGTAACATTGTAATTAAAAAAAAAAGGAATTACGCAAAATTGCATTAGAATGGGAATAACTATACTTCTAATTTGGTATTTGCGACCGTTAATGCTGATTTAACGGTCGCAAACATCCGTTTTACCGGCTCCGCTTACGCGTCGCCGGTAAAACTCAGTTTGCGACCGTTAAATCAGCATTAACGGTCGCAAATACCAAATTAGAAGATAGTTATTCCCTAAATAAAAGGTGTCCAACTGGAGAGAGAGAGAGAGAGAGAGAGAGAGAGAGAGAGAGAGAGAGAGAGAGATTAAAAAATTGAATCGGGCCAGTCGGTCGGAAGAATGCAACTAAACATTATAGATGGCTTAAATGTTACCAATTTACATCTGAGTTTGAAATGAAAGTTGTCGAACTGTAAGAGAGAGAGAGAGAGAGAGAGAGAGAGAGAGAGAGAGAGAGAGAGAGAGAGAGAGAGAGATCTGGATAAACTTGTGAGAATTGTCGAAATTATATCTCAAAGATTTCTTTGTTCTTATTTTCTTTTGTTTGTTGTTTTTTTAATTTTTCTTTTCTAAAGAAAAGAAAAAGCAGACAGCCACAGAAGCTGAAATTTGGCTTTGATTTAGTATGATTGACCTTTTCCATACTTTAGATGATGGAAGTTGTTTTGATAATAACGAAAATGAAATCACAGGTTTGAATTAGATTATTTTAAACTGTTTTTACATTGAATTGGAATGGACGCTTTTCATACTAATTGTTAGTCCACGGCTCACAGTTTTATGGACTTTGATATTAAATAATGTTCGTTATCCCCATATTCTCCTAATGTACGCTGTATAAATAATATCGATAGGAATTGATAGAGTTATGAGTAAAAACGTAGAGGAACTTTCCTCAATACTATATGTGTTAAAAAACGTATCGCCTAAAATTGAAACGGTTTCAAATGTGTACTGCCAAAAAATGAAATGTTGATTATATGAGAAAATCTCAAAAGATATAACATCGCTATGCTTAATAAGTTTTTTTAGACACGTCTTATTGAAGGTGAATAAAATACCCGAGCAACCACTAAACAACGTTTTCAGTTTTGCATCTCTGACTTGATAAGTCGTCAGAATATTAGATATATACATTTGTGGTATCTTTCCATTATATAAACATACAAAGAGAAAATATCTTCAATTCTGTATGAAGTTTGTCAGAGGTCAGAGGTCAACACATGACCGAATCACACTGCGCAATAATATCTACCGTTACTTATAAATGTAAAATGACCTGCTTTTCAATAGTTTTCATGTATAAAAATGAACAAAATAAACAAGTGAAGTAATTGCTTTATTTACAACATAAATATGTACATCATACATTTTTTGGCGATCGATTTAACATGTCTACATAGAGAATATACCGATAGAAACTAGCCTTTGTTTACCAGTTGTAGGCCTGTATGTCACTTTTGTCAGCTGCACATGCAGTCTCTAACTTTTATCCTTATTTTTTTTAGACTTTAAAGTTAAATCTTCAGAATATAGGCTACGGCTGTATTTTTTCCATTAAATTCTACTCACAATAAATGTGTTTATAAATGTATTGGAAAATATTAAAGCATTGCAATCACGCCACGAACAGCTGAGAAACACCTCGATTGGCGCTGTCGTACTTCAATGTAAGTTGTCGCCAGTGTCTCCGTGTTTACAAAATAAACATGCCTTTAGTTACTGAAATCGTAGGTTAAATGTTTTTGATCAAATTTAATACTTGATTGCAAATGAACTGGCTCGGACAAGTGTCTAAATCCATCGGATCCAGCCATCCATTTCAGGCGATCGAAATTCCTCCAACTTTTTATCATCAATCCTCGGACGTTTTTCTTGTGTCTTTTCAGCATTAATTATCAATTTTCACATATAAAAATATTCCCAGACAAGAATTTGTTCACTATTACTGATCACAAGTAGTGTTTAACAAAATATTCCCCTCCAAAATAGAATTCTTAGCCTGACGAAATTTTCAAAGCGTAACCGCCTTTCAAGCCGATATACAGCTTGCGTGCTTTTGACTGAAATCTACGGCGACCGGTTAGTGCAATATTTATATCGGAATACATTTAATTTAATATTTAGTTGTCCATCTCAAATGTATATATAAGGAATAAATAACAAGTTTATAAATTTCAATGGGAATTGAAGTGAGTCGGTACGTAATCAAATCTTCTGAGAAGGCCTTCGGCCTTCACAGGATTTGATCACGTGACCGGCCCACTTCAATTTCCCATGAAGTTTATAAACTTGTTATTTATTTCTTAATTAAATTGATCCTTGAATAAGTTTAATATAATTATGGCAAAGGTCATATTTCCCAAAAAGGTCTTTGTTCATCTTCAGACTCCCAAATCACTCAACATCAAGCTTTCACCGGTTTTTTTCTATCTGAAATATGACTATACAAATGAAACTTCATATGCACGAATAAACTTCGAAAAGAAAATGAATTCATTTAAACAAGTAGATTATGGATGTGTTGAGATTGCGCTGTTATATGTAACATGTATTCGTGTTCAATTAATAGCTATTATTTTCTGTTTGGTCAATATGCAATCTTAATATCAGTCTTACTTGAAAACAAAACTACTCTGAATAATCAATCATAATTATTAGTGGCCCTACGATAAAATATACAAATATTTATTAAGCAGGCTACCTTCCTTTACAGATTTACTTTAAAAATCAAATCCTTACAGCTTAGCTGATGCACTGTGACCTTAAAGAGCCTTACATTTAATTGTATTAATACCTGCCTAGGCCATCACATCCAATTTGAAATTGTATTAGTTGTAAACCTTTATGTGGCCTAATAATTGACCGTAATATTGTACAGTGTATCACCTGATTGGTTATCAAGAGTCATTAAAGTCTTTGCTCTGGGTATGTACTCAATTCGCATTCCCCTACACATGTTTGTTAATTATAAAGTGCATAAAAAACTTCTTTGAATAATACTATCTTTATCTCATTGATAACACTAGCAGATGAAATAGACATTTGATAATGAAATGAGGTGGCACAGAAGAGATAGCAGATCTGTTTTGTTTTGCTGATTCTTCCGTGCTGATAACCTTTCAGGGTATCGTAAAGGAAATTCATAAATTTCATAAATTTGGTGGAGACCATAGGAACAACTGCTATTTTAAACGGCAGAGAAAAACAAAATTAATAAACATTCCCATTCTGGATAAATCTGAGATATTTTTATGCTCCTTTAATCGAGGATTGATGGATATGAAGTTTTTACTCTGTTCTTCAGCCTGTTTCTTCGCAAAAACTTACCTATTACCTTAACTGGTTAAAGTTATAGGTTTCAGATTTCAAATTTGATAGGAAGACCAACATACCAATTTTTTGATACCAACATACTATCACGTGACCTCTTGACCTTGGAGTTTGACCTACTTTTGCAAAATCTTTCCAAACTTTATCATTAGCAATTATTTTGATCTGTTGGTACTACCGCTTTCATGCATAACCTGTGTATTTATTGTCACAAGACCTTCCATTATGTATCAGGATTTTGACAATTTGACCGTGACATTGTAGATATATCTACTTTTATAAAACTTAGACCTTGCAATAACTTCTCAGTTGCAACGGTTCGGACAAGGGCTTCATGGTTTACTTCTTGAGACAAGACCTTCCCCTTTTTCAATTGGTAAAAATAACTTTAATCTTTTGACCTTGGCGTTTAAGTTTGATATATTGTCTTTGAAACGTCTTGTCACCAGTCATGCACATGAAATATGACTGACCTGGGACTAAGCATTTAAATGAAATCGGGGTTATAATTTAAATTCCTCAGACACCATTAATATTGAGCCGATGACCTAGACCATAGAGTTTGACCTACTTTAAGAACATATTAAATATTAACCTTGGCCTAATTTTTGAACAGCTTCAACAGGCAAGTTTTTAAAATCCTTTATCAAGACAGGAAATTTTAAATCTTACCTGATTGTTTTAACCTTTATTTTTTATTATTTTTTTTGTCCTTCTGAAGGGTGGAAACTTGAACCTCTTCCTGTCTCGTTCTTTCGTTTTTTGTAACTTTGGTTGAAAATTCGGCATTTAATTTATTGTTTTGCACCTGTTGAAAAAAATGCTAGGATAGACTACACCATTTCTTAAATAGATCCTGCTCACGTTATTTTAGTCAAAATTATCAAATCTCTTGTCAGGCTCGAATCGGTTTTCAAGGTGAAGATATGATTTTTTTTTTTCCTCTGTTATCTTTGCTATCCTTTGCTAACAGTGTACTGAAATAGTTGCCTAACAGTTACCTTGTTTTTGTAATGCTTACTCTCGAGAATTGTCTTTAATTAAGTCAGTAAATTCGGATACAACTTTTAGCAAAGTCTTTGCAGCATCTCTCTGAAGTACACAATAAATGAGCATTTGCAATCAGTACCTTTGCTCTCTTTAATATATCTATAACATCATTTGGATCTATGCCTTTGCTAACTTTTTGACCTTCCTATCTTCATGCCACAGTACTGCTTACACATCATAGCATCAAGAATACGCTTTTTCTTAATTATGATTTTTTTAAACCTTTTGTTAGACATTATATACCAATGATGTAAAATTTGTAACAAATATGTTTATGTTCATGTTATTTTCCAATTTAATATGAAATGTATCCATTTATGAGCTACAAAACA